TTAAAAAGGCAGCATRATAATGTTGAAAAGAAACATGAAGTGTGCCAGGGATGAACTGAACAAAAGAGCAGCAAACCCTGCAGGTTTCTGGGACAAAAGATGAGGCACCAACTGCAATTAACTGCAAAAGGCCGTATTTGGGACAAAACGGGTGGTGGCAGGGTTGGCATTTGTGAGGCAAATCCCGTCCTCGACTCCGCAGTCTCCTCATGGGTGAGGGCCGCCCCACGGGAGGAGCTCAGAGCTCAGGCAGGCGGCAATCGGGGCTTCATGTTCCTGCTCCTCAAGGGGTTGTTCAGCGGGAACGGAGCTGTCCCTCCGAATGGGGGAGCAGAGCTGGCCTTCCTAGTGGGATCAGAGCTTGTGCTCCAAATGGGGGAGCAGAGCTGGTCCTCTGAATGGGGGAGCCGCCTTGCTCAGGGGAACGTGGTAGTCCCTGTCAGACACCATCTCACCAGGCCACTTATGGGAGCCCTACCGCTCCCATCACAAGAAATCCAGTTTACGAGATTATACTTGCTTTAAATGCCCCGCAGTCTCTCCTAAGCCCTTTGGCCTTGCCTTGACCTTTAGGATTTCTGGATGACATGCAGCTCCCCTTGTTCTTCTAAGACTGTTTTAGCTTTGGGGCTGTGCCAAGCGGACAACTGTTAGAGGGGTAGTTTTCGAGCATGTGGCTTGCTAGCATGTGGCCACTTAAGCTAATTTTATATGGGATCAGAGACCTTGTAGGTCAAAGTCTCGTGGCTTATCGCTCAGCTGTGCATCTTCTCAGTCTAAAAGCCCATTACATATTTCTGATTGCATCTTCTTCATCTGTACATATACAACCAGAAAATGAAAATAATGTATAGATTATTATTAGCCCAACTTCCCCATATTATAGCTCCTCTTCAGTAAGAGGAGGAGGGGGAAAGGCCGGGGCAGAAGGTTGGTTGCCCTCTGACTGTTCACGCTCCCCTACCTATGTCTCTTGTAACCTTGAGCTCCTTGTTATGTGTGAGAATCTCGCCCCCAGTTCTGTGACACTCGTTATCATTTATTTAAAGGGAAAAATGGCTAAACCAGCTATAAACCAAATTCCAGAGTTTTTCAAACAAATATTTGCTATTTTACAGTCATCAGTTTTAAATCTCCTTGGCAGTCCACATAAATTATTATGAATAGAAACCTACACCCTCTCACAGTGCTTGGTCACTGTGCACCAGCAGCCAGCGCACCTGCCTTTGCTAACCTGCCAGCCAGTGCACAGAGCCACCTCGTGATCACAGAATTTATACCAAAAAGTGCCCTTTAGAGAGGACGCRGAAGCAGCAGCTACAATCTGCAACTTAACTGTATTTTTCCTTTGTGTTTTTAAATAGCATCACARCCGAGGAACAACATGGAACCTTCCAAGGCTCACGTGGAAGCAGGGGCTGCTGCGCGGCCCCAACAGTTGCGTTAATCCAATGGCCCACAGGTATCAGATATAGGAGGGAGGATAATCTCACTTTCTCCCCCATCTCTAGCTGTGGAGCCCTGTCTCTTCCCTTGCGTGACAGCAGCGCTCAGTGGAACCAGATTCACCTCCCTAATTARAGAGACTGTCGTCACATCCCTTTTATCCCTGCAAACAGCTCGTGAGGGGTCCAGAGCAAGCTCCAGCAGGAGCAGGGAGCAGCCGCGGCACCAGCTAAGGGCGCAGGGAGCAGCTGCGCCGCACCGGGCGCTTTCCCCAGAGGAGCCCTGTTCCGCACGGGAGCGGGCAGGGCTGCCGCAGACGAGAGCAGCGCTCGGCTACGCTCTCTCGCCCCACGCAGCCCTTGGGAAGCCTTCCTGTTGCGCCTTCCTCCTGGTTCCCACACACCCCCAAACCAGGGTAGTCGAGTGGCCAAGTGTTAAGCATCAGACAGCATCTCCACCAACAGCAGCTGCCTTTTTAGGGGAAGGAAATCTTAAAAAAAAATGCCAAATACCATGTACGTTCATTTCAGAAAGTTTATTGCACCAAATGCCGCAAAGAAATAGACCAAAATGATAGTGTACATAAACAACTATAAGAAAAGAAAAACAAACATGTAGTTTGACATCGGTATTCAGTCAGTCCTAAAAAAGTCTATGCTCTCCAAACATGCAATAGCAACACACATTTTCTACTACGGATAACTTAARGATGTCAATTTAGCCCACAACTTCAGACAAGTGTCTGGAGGTTATTCAGCAGTTTAGACTCTATTTGATCTGGGTTCTTCCAAATGGATTTGGAACTTCAGGGATAAGCAACCACGGTGTAAACTGTACGTAAGAGTTTGGCATGCCTGGAATGAGACTCGAGTTTCAGAGAAAAACAGGCAGCGGGGAAGACCAATCTGTAGTGTGAATGATAGAATGAATTACTGAATTCTATCTGAACATTAATTTAAGTAGAAGAAAGTTCTAATCGTTAGTTTGGAAAGTGCCCAGCTTAAATTAAAAAGTTTAGACATTAACATTGTTTCAGGCTAAAGACAGTTCATTTAAATACTGCAATGCAGCAGTTTCCATTTATACCCCCCCGCCTGGATGTTTCCTTTTGCCTCAAAGAATACATTCGTTAAATTGCACTGTGTAAACTGCATTTATGTGGGATTTTAGAAAGACTCTTCACTCCCACTTAAACAAGAAAGTATTTAAGATTAGAAAAAAAACCCTACATAATACTGATAAAACCCCAACTTTGGAATATTTGAAATTAAGCTACATTATCAATTTTAAACACCTTGGTACATTCATATCACTTTTCATTCTATTAAAATAAAGACAGAAACATGCCTTAAAGATGACTAACACAACATTTGCAAATATTTACTGCTCCGGCATGCTACGCTAATTTATATAAACAGCAAGATGCTACCAAAAACAAATTAAAGACTTAGAGTCCAAAAAAGCCCTAGAAGGTGGTATCCTGTCAACTGAGGTAGTATATTTAGTGGAGGGGAAAATAGTTACTCAGACTTCTTCGCACTAAAGCCCTAAGAGTAAATGACTTGAATTTCAAATCCCCCCCACGTCCCCCAAAACTAAAACTGCGAGATCATCCTGTATTTTTCTGAAGAGCAGCAAAATGTTACAGAAAGCAGCAAGAACTATAAGGTTTTAGCCTGGGCTGAAGAACATCCAAGTGCTTTTGACCATCACTTCACACGCTGCCGCCGCCTGCTCCAGCAGCTCACATCCTTGCCAGCAGGGAGACTTCCGTAGCTCCAGCAGGGAACGGGGCTGTTGCTGATCACAGCATCGGCCTCGAAAGCCCCCCTGCGCCCTGCGACATCGGCCTCCCAGCGCTCCCGGCAGCCAAAGGGTTTCCAGCCGTATTTCCCTGGAGGACCCCTCAGAGCTGGTTCAGATCCAAGCCCAACTAATACTTTCAGTAAACTGGAATTGACTCTTCCCACTTGGCTATGGCTCCGGGGCAGCAGGAAGCAGGGGGAGCAGGAGCCCCGGAGCGTTTCTCTCCATGGGCAGGGAAGGGGCTCCCAGTCCCGCTCCGCGCTCACCCCGCCACGGGGAGAGCCAGGAATGTGTTGCTCGCTGCCTGGTCCCTCCCTGGCCATGGCCTTGCACCTGCCCGCAGCTGCATGCGGAGGGACCTTTGCTTTCCTGCAGAGACACCCAAGGATTCACAGACCAGGGAAATGGGCAAAAAAAAAGAAAGAAACAGCTCCAGTACAAGCAGCAGGAGAAAACCGGGTCCATAGCAAGATGCTAGCCTGCCTTGCGAGGCAGGACAGCCGGCATGACACGCGTGTGGCAAAGCGGGTTCGGAGCAGCCCGGAGCGCGGCGTGAGCCCAGCGCCCGCTCCAGCTGCACACCAGCCCACGGCTRCTGAGGAGAAGTCCAAGCGCCAAGGTAGCACGGAATAAAACACTTGCAACGCGTGTCCCTTCACTGCCCAAAATCCGGGATCACCAACAGGTGACCACGAGATTCCTACTAGGATTCACTCTTCCAAGCAAGTGCTGTCAGCGGCGGCCCCCATTCCTACTCTGCCCCGGCTCGCCGCTGCAGACTCCAGTGTTTAGCTTTCCTTTAAGGACTTGTGTTTTTATCCTTTGTTCTTTCCTTAGTCTGGTCCATAAATAGTTTCTTATCCAGCTTAACAGTACTTTATGCAAAAAAAGTATTTTTTACATTCATGCCATCAACCATGTGAAAAGAGTAAAGTACAAAATTTTATTTTGCTTTCTAGAAACACAGAAGGCCAATATTAGCTAGTGGAGAAGTAGTTTCTGGTCTCGAAGCAATTTCTCTGTTAAGGAAAGGCACCGGGATGATAGTTTGAGAATTCTGTAGAGTTGTAGAGGGTAACTGAAAACATTCATAGTAACAGAGGGGTCTGTCCCCCTTTGCGTTATCTGTGAAGTTACCAAATAGCAGCCAAAAAAAAAAAAAAAAAAAAAAAAATTGATTACAGAATTGCAGGATTTTGGTCAGATTGTCTTAAGTTTATGCTGATTGCTTGCTGGAATGCTGAAAGTCACAGCACTGATGCCGTCTGTAGGCTTGTCCGATTCAGAGCCCTCAGAGACAGCAACACCTGACGCCACCGGAASAGAGGTCGGGCAATTCCCAGGACCAGAGTCACAGAGAAACTCCGCAGGGGCATCCAGGCTGCRGCAGCAGGAACCAACGTAAACGTGCAGCAGAAATCCCGCCCGGCTTTCCCAGCCAGCGCCTGGCGCGGGCGCTCACCGCAGGCATGGGCGGCCCTGCTCCCAATGGGAGCGCGGCGCTCGGGCTGCCCGTGCTGGAGCAGGACGCGGTTCTGAGGCGCCCGCGCTGCGAGGGACAGGGCGCCCCTCGCCTGGGCGCTGCGCCCTGCTCCCTTACTCCGCGCGGTCCCTTCTGCCACACGGAGCCCCGCTTGCGCCCCACAGAACAGAGGCTGCCGGCCGGGCACACTAGGTACACGGATCACAGCTCCCCTCCCGGGCAAGGCCCTCCACAAGCCCCGCTCACCAGGCGGCACGGGAAATCCTGCCTGCCCCCTTTGTTCTTGTAACTGTTACTTCACCGTTTGAGCAGCGTTTCCGAGGGCAGCTTGCGGGCTGCCATAGTGTTAACTTTCATCCTTTAAACAGTAGTAATAATAATAAYAACAACAACAATAAAATGCAAGGATGCAGTCACCTTCTTGGTGAAGGTCAGAAGTGAGCTTGTTAGAAAAACCTGAATGCTTTTTACATTATGTAAACTGACACCCCGCTGGCATCCGAAGCTGGAGGTGGCAGAAGGCGCAGCCGTCRCCCGCTCTCCTCACTGTTCCCCTTGACCAGTGTTTGGCACCTCTGTTCTTCGTTCAAGATTCCCATATTCTTTACTTTAAGGGAACGACTATCCTGAGATTGTGATTTATAAGAGTATTTGAGCAACGTACGGGGAATGAGTACTTGCTATCGCAGCCAACAAAGGCAAGTCATTGGATTCAATCCTAGAAATTAARAGAGAGAGAGGGAGACAGACTTTAAAACAGGCAGTCACCTTTCACGGAGAAGGAAAGCACAAGAGGGTTTTCTTCATCCATACTTCAGAAGTGTCTTGCTGCTGGCAAGTTTATCATTTACTAGTATTTATTGTCATTATTCATAACATACCAATAACAGTAGGTGCTAATGTTTAAAAACAGGAGCTGCGCTACCTCTTAAGGGAAAAAACAGTAGCACTACCACCTTTTTGTGGTATATAATCTTTATGCTTTAGTTTGTTCACTAGTTGTTAGCTAACAGTCTTACCATTCTCCCCCGTCAGTAGGTCCCTGCAGGCCTGGTCTGAAGTACCACCTTACAAGTGCTAACCAGCACCTTATGGGAGACCATGCAGCCCTGATTCTAAATATAACCCCAGCTGGTCACACGGTAGCACCTTCTTATCAAAAGATAACCAAAATGTGCAGTTCTTAAGCAATCAAAACAGCAATGTCTCTCAGATTCAACACTCAGTCCAAACCACTTCTACTCATATATAGAGCACACACAAGAGAACGTGTGAATAACCTCAGAATGATCCAAATATTATTTTAAAAAAAAAMWWYATGTTAAAAAACCCACATCCTTTTCAATCTGAAGATTTAAGAACTGCTTGTAATTTGCTCTTGCTGCTCACTCGTAAAAATGCCAGCCTGATGCCCAAGATGGCTCAGCAGAGYCACTTCTACACTTTGAGGCACAGGAAAGAGGGAAGCATTAAGCAGACAGYAAGAAGGAAGCTCCCCCAGAAATGAGATGGTATTTGGCAGCTGAAGAGGAAGATAAATGGCCCAAGTTTTGCCAGACATTAAGACTGATATCTGCAATACTTACCCCAATACAATTCCTAGTTCTTTTACATGCACTCTTGTATGTCCTCGCAGATATTCTGAAAGCATTTTGCTTTTGAGATACATCTCTTGCAGTCTATCCTCAAGATGCATTATGCACTGCAGACACAGACCACAGAAAGAAGTTAGCATCCCCATGCACAAACTGCACAAAGAGAAACATTCTTAAAAAAAGAAAAAAAGTCCCCTGCTATCCTTGTGCTGGTGACATTAAAAAAAAAAATATACCACTCTTTCCCAGCCCCCATGAAAGAATTGTGGCACTTTTTATTTTCCCAAATTGCAAGTTTGCTACACAGGTCAAAAAGCACCCAATTCACACTCAAGTCAGCCAAAGCGTCCAACATACAGAAGTCAGGCCCAAAGACGTTCAAGACGTCTCATTAAGAATGGAACCAGAATATGTGGACCATGATTTGCCCRCTACAAGTAGTACTATTTTTCTGAAAGATGCAATTTAAACTACAGTTCCTAAAACTGAGCATCTTTTCAGCTCAGAGAAACTGCCATTCAAGGAAATAAAACTTAAAAAAAGGGAAATCCCTGGTATGATCTATAGTGTTACGATAGCTCTTTTGCTTTCTAGCTTGCTGGAGAAGCTGGGGGAGCTTTTCCAGGCAGTTGCCATTCCTAGTACTGGACTCCCAGCCTAAGGTTGCTCAAGTTGAGGTTGCTGACTGGACCGATCACCTGTTGGCAAACAGCATCTAGGTTTAATCACTCCCTTTTCTGTCCTCAGGAGCATGGCAGCAATGCCACAGCATGCCACACTTCTCTGTGCAATCATATGGCATGGGGAACTTTCCTATGCAAAAGCTGCAGGAGAACACATAAACCTTAGCTTCAAAATTGCTGAAAAAATTGTGAAAATTACCCCTTCTCGGTAGCAGAACCTGAATAGGTAGGATGTCTCATCAAATATTTTGTTCTAAGACAAAAGGGATGTTCAATTTAATATATCCTTTCTTTCCACAGTGACACCCACTTCAAAGGAAAGTTAAGCTCGGCTCTCCRGACTCCAAGAAAGGAAAGCCAGAAGCCCAGGCAGAATCCTGCATTATCAGATGTATAGTCATATGGCAGGTGGAGACAGCAGTTAGAAAGAGCAGCTGCCAGCTGCTTGAGGCCATCATACAATGTACTTTTCAAGTCTGGTGACTTGAAGTGATACAGGTAGTATCACTTCTGCCAGTTAAAAAAATAAAAAAAATAAACCCTCATACTTGTATTCTTAACAGATCTTAGGGAAGACTAACACACACTTCTACAATCTGCTATGTTACAGCACGAGCAGAATGAGGTAGCTGCCACGAGCACAGGCAGGGCAAAAGCTTGTTGAGAGCAGGTTGATCTTGGTGCTTCCTGCAAGTTTCCCCTTCAGTCACTACAGTCCCAACACTTCCGAACCCAGCCTAAAGGCAGCATTCTTTATCTCTGTCATTACAGATAACTGCAATGCAAAAAGCCTATTAAAACTTGCTCAGCAGTTGAGAGAGGCACACAGCAGTTTTCCAAAATAGCAGCTCAATGTATTAAAACTTCRTTATTCGTGTGCTACAGGATTTTGGAATTGCAGTTGAGCGTACAAATAACTCCTACATTACTCTTAGAATAGAGACATTAATATATAAAATTATCTGCTCCTCCTGAATGCTGATGACTGAATGCAAGCTGAAATCAAGAGTGTCTTCCTCGTAACGTCAGTACAACTCAGTTAGAGTACAACTGAGTTAGACAGCTTTGTTCCAAATGTCTATTGCACTTGAGGTCCTGAGATTAAGTAACTTGTCTCACTGATTGAACGAGAACAACAAATCCCAAGTTGGTTTTGACATCAGGAAAAGTAGCTCAGAAAGTGTTTGAAGGTGCAGGTGGAGGCTTGTGAGGGGCTGCTGGCAGGTAGCCGCTGCAGWTGGATGTGCCCTCCCCTCCCACCGCAGCACGCTGCACAGGGACGGGCCCGGCAGGACCGTGACCGAGCACAGCCAGAAACCAAAACCTGCTGACCAGCAAGTGGACGTCATGAAAGGGAAGCTGGGAAAGGGAGCTTCAAACACGCTGCATTACGCTCACGTCTGCTCTACACAGGAGGCTCGTCTGGGTCAGACCTGAAGCTGCAGGAACCATTAAGTCACACACACCCCCTACCCTGAAGGGACTGATGAATATTTGAGCTTTCCCCACTGATCTGCGGCTGTGAGCAAAGACCTGTAAAATCCCCTGACAGGAGGAGTGAGTTGCCATCTACCCGAGGTTACAGAAAAKGCTAAGCTACTAGCATGGGCATTTTACTGTTCCTTTCTAGGCTGTGAAACAACCCGCCCTGCAGGCCCAATCCCTGCCCTCTGCAAAGTGCACAGGCATTGCACACACAATCCCCAAGACAACACTGCAAAGCAAACCTCAATGGCAGTCAACTGGTCGGCTCACAAACAGCAAAAGCATCAGTGCTGGCAYGCAAGCCCTTTAATTCTCCCTGGAATCCCATGACTTTCAGCCTTCCACACAAAAAACTGCAGAGGTCATTGCTGGTGCGCCCACTTATTTGCCTGGCACTGGACTTCCAAAGAATTTCTCATGCTCTGTGCAATTCATTCAGATGCCCCAAGCTGCTGCCAGAGAGAGCAGGTCCCCGCGGCAGCCGTGACTGCTCCTCAGAAGCGCGCGGCGACTCGCGGGGCCGACGGGCTGCGCCCCGCGGGGCGGCCCCTGCTGCCGCAGGGCAGCCGGCTTCCCCGAGCGGCCACGAGCCCGCGGGGCTGGCACGGCGCCCGCGCTGAAGCCAGCGGTGAGGGGAACAAAGACACATAACCAGGGGGCAGAGAGGAGAGGCGCCCAGCGCCCAGCAAGATCCCAAGGCCAGTGATTGGCACGCTAACAGCGCAGCGGAGAAAGCCAGGAGCTTCAACAAGGGAAAAAGATGAGGGAAATTCTACAGAAAAAAAATAACCTGAGCCAAATTTAACAACCCTCGTCATAAACATGAGGTCCATGCCTTAAAAACTTCATTTCTGGCTTATCTGTTTTAGAGCAGTTGACTAATCTTGATTACATGTAGAATAGGCTAAAAACAGTACCTGTAAATAGACTGTTGCAGAYGTTCTTTTAAGTATGTGATACTGACTCTACGTTGTCTCAGTTGTTAGTTTTTTGCTACAAGAATATCCAGTATAAAAAATGCTGTATTTGGTACCTCAGCTAAGCAAATTTTCATTATTTTCAGTTTTCAATAAAGAAATACTTACAAAGTCTGCTGGGAGGTTGAGTTTGTAAAGCTGCAAAATAGATTGCAATAAGCTGGATACTTGACTAGACACCAAGACATCCTTGCCCAGCTTCATGTTGTCCATGACCTTCCTCTGGCTCGTAGCCACCTGCACGTTCCATTTATCCGTGTCTGCAATAATGCAGACAGCTTCAGCGATGGGCTCATCTAGCACTGGATGCTGCAACAGGTACAAAACACAAATAGGAAGTGACATTTTCATATACTTTTCCACAACTAGCCTAAGGATCTATTTATATTCGTGCTGGGACAGGGAGTGAGAAAATGGTGCAAACAAGTGTTTTCATCCAATAAAAAACCCAAGACATCACAATCAAAAGTAAGCAGCAATGCTAACCTCAGCACCAGTTTTTCTAGCCATTAACACKGAGTCTGTTAGGTCACACCTGCCAATTTGACCAAGTATTTTATTTTGCATAGGGAGGGCCTCAGACACACYGCTCTTTCATGAAGTGTTCCTGCTTCCTTACCAAGGCAAGTTTCTTCCCAAAAGAAGATTTAGACTGACTCAGTGGTGGTGAAGGCATAAGCAGTGCTTCACCGCCAGGGTATTTTGTGTGGGACTTCCCTAATCCCAATCAAAGCAAGGCACGTATGAAGAGACAGCATCCCACTAGCCCAACTTGATGCTGTATGCAAAAGCACACATATGCAAACACCACAGCTTTGGGCAACACGGGAACTCATTCCAAGATGTTTTTTAATTGCCATACACAATTGTGTTGATAATCATCTCTAGACAATTAAATACTTATACGTTAAGAGCATATAAAGTTATTTTAGTGGAAGGAGGCTATGAATTTCCTTGAATTTAAACTCAATCTATATCCTTAACTTACTGCAAAGTCCTTACCTACAGCCACCGACTTTCCATAGCCAGTTACTTATGCTACTAGTCTAGTACAATACAAGTCTTTACATAACTCATCTCCCTTGCCACTAGGCAGCTAGGAAGCTTAGAAGCTTCAAACAATTTGAAGGTCATTTTTGTAAAATATAGATAATCATTTGCTATTTTGACTGAAAACAGAAATGATTTGAGAGCTTTTTTCACTTGCAACCTGAAGTTGCTGGCAAAAAATATTCCCTGTGCTTATCTTTCAAAGAGAAGACCTAAGAGCGCAGAAATAGAAGTGAATATTGTCTGAACAGGCTTCTCTCACTGAAATAAGGAGCAGTCTCTTCCAAGACAGACAGACATATCAAGAGGYGCTTTTAAGAATGGGTTACTGGAAGAAAACAGGCTCCATTCCAAGCATTGACCCCTGTGCTCCTGCAAGGGCTCAGCAGCCTCGCAGCTCCTGCGTACAGCAGCATTTCAACTCACGTGCATCGAATGAAGCAGGTCTGCTAGCAGGCATTGCTTGAGCTTTTCATCGTTATTTATTCCATGCAGCACCAGATCGGGCATATAGGTGTGACAGTAACCACCCAGCAGGGATCTTCCAAAATTTTTCATGCACTGACTGCTGATCATGTTTGACCTGAAATACAGAATACAAGGTGCCTACGGATCTTGCTTGACAAACTGTCCGCTGATTTTCACGTGAAATGAAATGTTTGCCTYGCCACGCCTGCTCTTCAGCAGCAGTTGTACTCAAAATACAGTGAATCAGTTACTGGTGCTCTCTGAAAGAGTTAGTTTAAAAGCTAAATTTCATTGATTCCTACAAATTTCAGATAAGACAAGTCTACACGTATTAGAGCTTGTGCTGTAAGTGACCTCCCCATTCTGCACCTCATAGGTTCGCTAAGCTTGAGGGCTCTCAGCCTGGGCAGCAAACTCCTAGCTACCTACTTCATGCACTGCKCATACCTTGCGCACGGTACTTACAAGCCCCTATAAAGCTTCTTTCTTAAGTAAGATGCTCCTACTAAGGTTGTGTTTGTCCTCTGAATTATGTCTAGATTAAAAGCTTCAGGCAGTTTCATACTAATTTGGTATCTTCTCGTTAAACATTTGAGCAACAACTTTGTTAGCAAACTTGGACACCTCAGGCTACTTAGGCTTGACTTTCTTTCTGTCAATACYGCTAACAAGAATCTTAACTGCATTAACCAGTGTCTGCTCGGAAGACTTCAGCTAAGAATTTAATTAGGATTCCAGAATTTCAGATTTGAAATCCTGAACACCTTTAAGGTAATAGCACTACTTTACCTTGGTAAAGGAAGCTCCACTTCTGCAAACTCTTCTAGTCTTTTGCCGATGTTGTCCTGATGAAGTTCAGAGATACAACAATCCCCTTCTTCATCACTGGCTCCCAGAGCACTGTCAGAGCTCTCATTCCTTGGAATGTCCCCTTCCACTCTGAACGGAATTTTCCTACCAGTATCCCCATAGGGGACATCTTTAGCACCTACGTGAGGAGAATCCTGTCTGACAGAAGCAGCTACTTGTGCACCATCAGGTGAACAGCTCTCTGGATTGTCAGAGCTTAAAGTTCTAGATTCTTTCACATTTGGTATTTCTATAGTCACGACATTATCTGCGCCCGAAAGCGGTTCACTAGATGGGTTTGCTAAATCAGTTTCCATTTCTTTACTTTCTACATGTTGGTCATTAAGTTCACTCTTTCCCTCAGAAGGTGGAGCCTGTGCATAACAAACACTATGTTTAGTGCAGGCAATGAAAGCAGCTTCCCCACTTTCTTGTTGATTCTGTAAAATACCCACAGCCGGACTGGGGGGACTTGAGGCACAGCACATCTCCTCCGGATTTTTTCTGAATGCCGTCAGATTCTTTTCCATTTCTCTTCTATGAGCTTCCAAGTCTGACTCCGGTGATGCAGAGCTTCCGATCTGAAAGGTGACCTTTTCCAAGTGTGAACTCCTGTGGTCAGGCCTTTCAGGACAAGGTAAGGCAGATGACCTACTAGGCAGCTGCTTTTCCACTTTGCTTTCCATATGATTCTTCTTTAGATCCAAATCCTCCAACTTTGATGGTTCCTCAAAGTGGTAGGATAGGATGTCCGTCTCAGCAACAGTCCTTCTCTTGCCATCAGCTGCTCCTTTGTGGAAAAGGCTGGTCAGAGAGTCTGCAGATGCTTCAGAGCTCTGACTGACCTTTCCCGCTGCATCAGTCTTCTCCTTGGAGGCAGCTGGTGCAGCGTGAGCACCTTCCGAGGCTCGCACCCACTCAGCACCTGAACTGCTCTTACTTCCATCGTTCTTTGGAGGTAGGATTGGAGGCACCAGAGCAGGTTCATTTTTAACAGTGACAACGACATAGTCAGATTCTTCCACCTCTCCCTTTTCCAGCACGGTGGTGATTGTGCTTCCGTTTAGCACTTGCTCTCCCTCCCCAACCTTCTCGCTCCACGTCAGCTGGTTTTCCTGCAGCTCAGAGCACCGAATGAAGTAAGTTAGAACATAGAGCAGCCGCTGCACCAACTCCTTGCGCTTTCCCACAATAACAGTCCGCGTCAACCTAACTGGAGAGCCTATGGCACCATAAAGATCACCTACAAGGGAAAAAGAAGAATTTTGTGTGCTCTTATACAGCTGTCATAAACTATACTACTTAAATTCAGGAAAAAAAAAAAAAAAGCAACGTTTATTAGTGACAAATGAGGCATTCATTTTCTTTAACAGTAAATTCATTACATTTTTAAAGTAACAAYGGAAGAAATCCCCTGGCATTTCTTCTGCCTGGCATGCATTCCCAGGGTGGGGGTTGCTCTTTTTAGGAGGGTTTGTCTGCTACTGTTCATTTCCTTTCAAAAGCACTGCAGGTTTCGTTTTATAAAATGGTCAAAAGATACCATCATCACTTGGAAACCGAGAGCAACATGGGGTGACGAGGAATATTCAGGCTTCATGTTCATTTGCACAAATGACTTCTATACAAAAGAAAGAAACAGAATACATTCCTATTGAAATACACTACTGCCCACCACTTGGCACATCAGACTGAAGCTGAGGTTAAACAAAGACAGAAAATGAAGSCTCACTTGCAGCGTTACCTACACTTGTACCAGTATTTATACACAACTAATGCATAAAAGGTAACAAGAACAAATCACAGAGGTTAGAGACAGACACTTCAAAATGTTTACCTCAATAAAAAGTAATTTTCGTTTTAAAAGCACTAAACTTTTTTTTTTTTTTTGAAGTTTTGTTTTAAGGCAGCAGCCAGCAGAGGGCAACATCTTACTTTGCAGTCTCAGTGGAAGGACCCGATACTTCGAGCCACTCCGAGTCTGCTGGAAACAAATGCTCATCATGACTAAGGCTGGGGCGGCGAGAAAGGAAACAGATTCTTGACTGTTTGGCTCCTGCAGTCTCCTTCAGTGGCTCCTGAAGGAGTGACTGCAAGAGCTACTGCCCATCTCCACCTCTGTTCCAGCTGGCTGTTAAAAATCACAGGTCTGGCTCCATTCTCAACACCCTGAGCCAGTTTCCATTTTCCCTTTCCTAGAAAATGTAATCCATTGCTCCTCATAAAATGTTTTGAGTTCATCTTGGAATSAGAACTGCATTTTTTTACAGTTTGTAAAAATGTACAGTAGTATAGTTACTACTATTTGGCCAATGTAGCAACTCTTAGTGCCATGAAGGCTACTGAGAAGAACCAACAGGASTACACTAGACCATAAGACAGAAACACAACTAATCGCACAACACGAAAGTCCTGCTACTGCTTTAGAGCTTTGCCACAGCCTGCAGGTGTATTATTTTACATATAATAAAGCACAGAACTTAAAGTTAGGCTGAACTGATACCACACTCACAGCTGCTGCCAAGAGGAGGAGGAATTTTCAAGGATTTACTGCTGTCAGCGTCATTCTCTCAGCTCTCACTCATCTACTCATTTGACAGCTGTCATTTAATTCGCAGTATCAAAATAACTTACAAGCAATATAATATCTGTTAAAAAACAGCCCGAGGAGCTCAGTCTGGAAAGAGAMTCTTGGTCCAAGCCCGCTCAAGAAACTAAATGAGCAAAGGTACYACCAGTTTCAGTTTTCTATTCTATTCTCAGGGTTGGCATAAGAAATAACATCCAGCTCCTCTCCTCCTGACCACAACATCCAGCTCCTCCCAGCCACAAGYAAACTCCTGCTCCAAGCAGCTCTCGGACAAGAGCAGTGCCTGCAGGAAGGAGCTGGTCTAGGGAGGGCTGAAGATTCCCATTTGCTACTGACCAAGTTGTGCCCAGAGAGGGTTGTACGGGTGGGATTTTGCCAGCATGTTCACAGACTGTGATGTGCGTTTCTCAGAGAAGGCCTTGATAGGAGGATGGTCAACTGGCATCACGGTTGGCACCCAAGCCAGATGATAGGTCAGCACCGCAGTTAACAAAGCAGCAAAGAACCTAGGGGAAAAAAATGACATTAACAACATATTAGCAAAAGAATATCCCATTAAATGCTCAAATGGATTGTGTGTACTAGGCAGCACACAAGCTTTTAGGAAATAAGGGAAAAAGCTTACTGGTTTTTGTTGATCTGTTCTATCAAAAATGTAAATTCTTTAAGAAAACGCTGGCATAGCTGGTTCTTTTCCAAGGTGTTGGACATCATATTAAGCCACACAGGCTCTGCAATCCTTGGAACAGAATACAGGTTCCAGATGGTGATTCTGCTCGGGAATAAGAGACCCCCAAACAAGTGTTAACATGTAGCATTGCAAAGTAGCACACACAAGCAGCCCATTTCCTCTTTTCCTTTTCTATCACCTACATTTTATTTATTTTTTTTTTTTTTTTTTAAGAGTGAGGAGACACTGAGCAAATTGGAAAAGTTTTCCACACACACCAGTTACTAGAATGCCAGAACACTAGTCTGGTTAATCATTGTAGTGATAACTTCTGAATCACTGATGTACAGTGATGCAGAGTGATGCTATGCAACATGAAATGCACATTCTTCTTCCCYTCCTTGCCTTCTCCTGAGCAGGGAAGCACACACAGGACACAGCTGCATGGGGTAAACAGAGAATTACAAATTGTTCTGAGGAGGAAAAAAGCAGCCATCCTATTCWTGTTCTGGTCACTACTGAACCTTGTCCCTCCTGAGCTGTCCCTCTTGGATTCTGGCCGTCTCCTCCTTTATTGGAGACCAAAACCCCGAACAGAAACTTTCCCGTCGGTTGCGCTGCTCAGCGCCTACAACTAAGAGTAGACAATTCAACTGCTTGAACAAAATAACTCAAGCAACTGCACAGATGTCAGCAAGAGCCAGCTTCTGATGAAACCTTCAAAGGTGCCAGGCAGGCAAGCAGAACAGAGTACTGTGCTCACTCTTGTGCTCAAAAGGGCCGAGACAGGCTGGAGGTTTCCAAAACSATTTACCCAGCACAGAAACCTCAGTCACGCTACCTCCAAGACTGGCTGAGTTACAAGAATTTGCATTCAGTTGCTTGYAATTGAAAGCGGGAGGTAACTTTAGAGGGGCCTGAGAACAGCTCTCATTCTAAACGAGAACTCCATCAACTCACCTAAATTCTCCCAGGGCATCCATGACACGGCTGATATAAACCTGCACTCTGTGGCTGGATTCCGCTATTTTTCTACAGCAGATCATGGCCTTGATTAAAAGTTAAACACACAAAACAGCTTCTTAAATGAAACTTAAAAAAGAAATATAAATCCTTAACTTGTCAAGMTAATTAATAATCCCAGTGCTAGACAACCACTCAGGACAGCAACAGCTGTTAGTCTCCCTCTATCCCACCATGTAGGGGGAAGGAGTAAACACTTCCCATCTCTTTTAATGACTGCATGAAAGGATAAAATACAATCTTATCCACTGCCTGTAGATGGTCAAGACAATCTCAGYGCAATATGAGGAAGAGAAAAGAGAGACCTGCAACATACAACTCTCCATTCTCATCAGCTAGAAGAGAAAACCACTCATTTTCATCACCTGCTGCTAGTTCAGGACAGACAAGTGCTAAATTTCTATGCTGGGCCCAGGGTCAAGGCTACACATGCAAGGAGCAGGTGAAACTTGGAACTGCACAACCTGCTCCCACTCCTCCCCAGACTTCACCTATCAGATTCTCAGACTGTCACCTATTTTTCCACATTTCCACTGTGCTGCTGTACCTTTTCTATTGCATACTTCAGTTTGTTCATGTGAGATTCAAAAAGAGGAAAGTGAGAGAAAAAGAAATCCTGGAAGTGTCTCTGTGCTTCTTCTTTTTCAGGCAGCGAGAAGATTATGCTGACTGCAATTTTTTTCCTCCGAACCATTGCAGGATTGGAGCTGCAGCTTTCATCAGCCATACTAAACATTTCTTCAGTGGACCTGCAAGAGATTTGTTAGGTGAGTTACCCACATATTAAACACAATTTGTCTTCTACCCACCCAATACTTCTAACATTTACCCATCTACTCTATAAAGAGTTGAAGTGAATTAATGCTTAAGCCTCCCTTGACTGTCTACACAACAATTTGCTGTCACCTCTCTCTGATCAGAGAAAACAGCCAGCATTTAGATGGACCAGACCTGTGTTTATTAAAACAGATTGGAGAAAAGCTACCCTGGAGGGATCAGTAGTTAAAAGCGCAGTGAAAGCCACTTTCTAGAAAAGAGCTACAAAATGCCTTCTCCTGGATTTATCTGCATTTTATAAAAATAAAATGGGGACACAATAGATAGTAATTTGCAAAGAAAAAGTTGAAGGGAATCTGACAGAGCTGGGGACTCAGTCTACTTGTCAAGCTCCTGCCCAGCTCCTCAGCAGTACACCCATGCTGCTCTTAATCTATCCTGCTGTTTATGACAGAAGCTGCAAAACGCACCACTTATCCAGCATCTTAATACGTCTGCTCTAAACTAACCATTACAAAAATGATAGTTCAGAATTCAGTAACAACTGTGAAAACACATTTTATTGCCTACAAATAGATGTATGCCTAGCTCAAAATATGCCATAATTTAAAAGTTTTGTTTTTTGGGGTGGGGGGGGGAATACAGTGGCCATTTACAGCCACTCTTGTTTCCCAAGCCGTTTTCTCACGTGGCAATCCTGTCACATTTCTCTCAACAGCAGTGCCAGTTTCCAGTACTACAGGAGGGGCCCAGCGCTGCTTAATGTCTTCAGCACCAGCCTGGCCTAGGGGTCAGAACCCACCCTAAGTGGCTTTGCAGTTGGGCCTGCTGTTCCCATGGGGGCTATGGGGACAGTGTGGGGCTGAGGGCGCAGGCAGCATCTCCAGGCAAGGCCCTGGGAACGCTCCAGGCACCCAAACAAACAGGAGGCACCCTGGAAGTGATGAGCACTAACTGTCAGGCTGCACAAGCAGAAGCCCAAGGCAACAGGTCAAGGCAAGTCAATCTTCCCCTCTGCTTGGGAGGCCACAACAGGAGAACTRTGGCCAGGCCAAAACTGGAACATGCCCAGTGAAGGAGCAAAGTGGAAGGSAGCCTGAAGCACGTGACGTACAAGGAAAGCCTGAAAGTGCTGGGCTTGTTCAGCAATCTTCCACTATCCGGGGAGTGGTTATACAGAAGATGAACACTTCTCAGAGATGAAGAGTGACTCTCATCCTTTAGCTGTAAATTAGATGCAGCACAGAAATTTCTGGTTGTATATTAAAAAAAAAAAGGAAAAAAAATCACAAAAGGATTAGATAATGGACCAGCTGTACAGAGAGGCCRTGGAATCTCCATTCTTTGAGATTTTTAAAATTCAACATGACAGGTTCCTGAGCAACCTGATCTAACTTCCAGGTTAGTCCAGCTTTGAGCAGGCAACTGGATGAGGTGACCTCTGCAGGACTCTGCCTGCCTAAAACTTTCTGTGATTAGACAAAAGGGTGGCAATTCCCCACCCATTCCTCTACAAATACATGCACTGTAGATTTAAGTTTTGATGATCCTGAACTTGCAGAGTTMTTATTTTCTCATATTTCATGTGTCTGAATCAATTTTGCCATGGAAAAATATAATAAATAAATATGATTAAAACAACATGGTCAGAATTTCTTTTGGAAGGAAAATTCGATAATGGTGCTTACTCCATATATTGGAAAACTGTAGGGGGAASAGGAAGAGAAAAAAACCACGAGAACACAAGTGAACATGTTCAGAGCAGCAGCTCATGGGGAAATAGTTCAGTTTTGCGGTTTCTTTGAGAGTTAACACTGCTGTAGGAGTTGTACAACTCCTGATTTTTAAGGCTTCCACATGAGAATTATTTTGTAATGGAGCCTGAGGCATTTACAGATCACTGTGAAGCAACTAACAAGAGGAAAGCCTGAATACTAAGCTTTCATTCTAGAGTTCCTTCTAAGAATAAATAGTTTACAGTGTAATTGGTTTGACAAAGTTATGATTAACTAGAATTTTCTCATCATAGAGATATGAGTGCAGGCATAGAGGGAAAAACAAACAACAAGAAAACCCAGAGGGGAAAAAAACAAAAGCTTGTGGAAAACAGCATTCAGGACAAAAACATAACCTCATTTGAACTTCAGGAACTTACATGCAGAGACAGAAATTCTCAAGGAAGCTGGAAAAAGATGGCCAGTCAGCATCTAAGAAACATCACAAACCAAGTTTTTGTACTGCTTCCCAGGAACAGAGATTAAACAACTAAGGTCTGTCTGTGAAAGAGACCCTTTCAACAAAGCTGCTATCTCGCTTGTCTGCCCATTGACTACCCGGAGTTCCRGCCAGTTGTCCCATTGCCTTGGCGCTCGGGGCCGAACTGGTCAGCTGGAGTCTGTGCCAGTTTGGTTGTACACACTGAAGAGCAAACCCTGCTGTCCCAGCAATGCTCAGCCAGGAGCCCACTGCTTCGCTAGCACACGGTCAGAAAACCAATACCTGAAGAGCCCTGGGCTTAGAAAGAGTCTCAGGTAAAAGCAGTTGCAGACAACAAATTTAGTTTGTCTGCTTTCCAAGATCTTTTCCAAGAACGGATTCTCCAACACGGAACAAAGACAAACTATTCTCTTCAGCGAATAAACAGCTTAATATTGCTAGTTTACTTTTTTTCCTATAACACTCGAGAAGTCTCACTGTGAAACTTTGGCTACTGCTTCTACTGTGCCGAAATTGTTTCATTTCCCTCTCAAAGTTTTAACTCATTTGCCATACACTGCTCTCTTATTTCCTTAGGAAACTAGGCTAAAAAGTACTATTGATTGAACGTAAAAAAATTGCTAGGTCGTTCCTGCCTGTGACTTGGAAAGCAACACTGCTCAGCTTGACTTGAACTCATGCATGATGCTTCATGTTAAAAATGAATCTGTGGGAATATTCTAGAAAGAGATCCAAGTGATGTTCCTAGGAAAAGTAAATTGCGACGTAATTATAACATATTTGCAATTGGCCTCTTCCAAAAAGAGTATATTTTTTAGAATGACCAGTTTTAATTAACAGTTTTTTAAAGCTTGTTTGAAGATAGCACAGAATGAGAAAGCATGYGCAGCAGGAGGTTCCTGCAGCCCCTCACTAATTCGATGTTCTTTCTGGGTGCAGGTGGATGAGTACATGTGAGCCAATACTCAAGATTTATTTGCTATTTCGCCACTGATAAGGGAGGAATTTGCTTATTAGCTACAAAAGGTCTGTTGCATTCCCTGCTTTGTTATTCCACTGAGCTACAAAAGCTAATAAAATTCCAAAACAGAAGCCAAGCTTTTTGATCACAGCTCTTTTTCTTCCTGTTTTGGCAGAAGTCACATTAGGAACATCCTGTACCAGCCAAGAGTCGTCATGGGCTATTACTCCAAATTTTCAATAACTGCTCACTAGTCAGACTTCATCACAGTATAATGGAATTACAGCAGCAGTGCTCTTACAATCTCTTTCATCTCAACAGGCTACCCTGCTTTTTCAGAAGTGGTTTAAGTTCCTTTTCAAAATGGGGTCTTTTGATACCTAGCCTATACACCTTCACTGTATTTCAAATTCAGCCTTGTAGCTCGTAGTCAGTCAAAACTTGATCTTTCCTCACACTGGCAGCCTGGCACAACGTAAACACAAGTCAGTCTGAAGTAAGAGTTCCTTTCAATAACASGATTTGCCCTTTTAGAGTAAAGAAGCTTAAGCTCTGTTTTGCTACTGCTGCCAAACAGCTGCTGYAAATGGAAAGCTGCTGCACTCACCACCTTGGGATAATCCCGTTCTCTAAACTGGTTGTCTGACTTCGAAGCCAGCGGCGCTGATAGCTGCTAGAAGATGATGATGAAGAGCTTGGAGATGGAAAAGGAGTGACCAGAAGACTGCTCAGAGATGCTATCAAGAAAGCAAAAAAATGCAACATACACTGAATTATACTGAATGCTCGTTAAACATTTTCTTTTATACTCTAACTTGAGACAATTTTCCCCAYGAATATTGGTCTTGCTTGCTGACTTTTCTAAGTTAGTAAAGGAATTTTTCATATAACTAACTCTCAAAAGGAGAGATGATAATCATTTTAAACAATCCCTGCTGCCCTAAAGCTTTTTCTTCTCATAAAGCCATAGGTCTTCTCTACTAGAGCACAGCGAGTCATCTCACCCCCATGAAAAGCATTCTGTCCTGAGAGGTGTTAAGCTCATATTATGACACACAGGTGGCTGGCTCCTATTCTGTGCAAAAAACTCTGCTCTTCCCWTGTTTTAATGAAGGCTTCTGCCAATTTTTCCTCTAGCTTATAAATTATTGAAGTTCCATGGAACTATGTGTGTAAACAAAGAGTACCATTAAAAGTATTCCTACATATAGACTTGCAGGAAGAAAAAAAAGGCAGAAGGAAAATTAGCAAATTCAGAAAAGTTCAGACTGAGGGGCCTTGAGATACCTAAAGTTTCAGGTGACCTAGCTAAAGGTGGTTCAGGTGAGCCTAGCTAAAGAAGTGTAGCAGTTACATAAGTAGGCAAATAAGCGAGCAGATACCTGACCGAGCAATGCCGCTGTCTCTGTCCTCATTTTGTCCTCTGCTTGGCATATCAACAGGTGTGCTGTGTGCTAAAACAAACAGGTCAGATCAACAGAAAATATTACATAACTCAGACTATTTGACATTTTTAAAAAAAGAGATGTTTAAGCTTAAAGGTCATACAGCAGCAAAGTTGCATCCTATACTGCTACTCCGAATAAGTAGAGTATGGTGCCCGCAAGAGTAAACAGCGTTTCCACATTGAGATCCACATCACTAACTCGAGTTAGTTACTCGCCCCAGACTACAAACATCCAAGCACCCTGTGAATGTGCCCGCAGCCTATGTTAGGGGGAGTCAGATGGGCTCCGAAGCAAGGACTGCTGCCACCCCACCTGTCACTCTGGATTACTTTTTTAGAGGGGWGAGGGGAAGGAGGAGAGGGCAAGATTGCCATTTTGAACATGGTAACACAATAACAGTCAAGTACCACTTCCATTAAGCTTCAGATCTGCTCCCCAGGTCATTCTTTTACTATTTACAAAGCTTCACAGTAAGAAACACTCGGCCTATGCTGTGCTATATTGAAGTGTTAGTAGTTCAGAGTGCAAGATTTGCACAGGCTGAAACTGCACTGGTGTTCTAGTTTACATTTCTGCAATTAACAGAACTAATTAAACCTACGATCTACCCACCTGCATGGGTCATCAATATGCCTGCAAAAGGAGACTTTACATAAAGCAGCAGTAAGTTTTGAAAATTCAAGAAATTTACACTGTTAAAAAGAAAAAGCCTTAAAGGATCCCAAGGCAGCTCAAGAGCTGGAAGAAGAAAAAGCTGCACACCAGCAAGACAGCTGCACACAGCAAGAAACCAGATACGGGTAAGCCAGGAAACATAAGTTCTCTAAGAAATGTAAGGGCTCATTTATTTTCAAACAGCTGTTACAAAAATATCCTTAAAATTGAACTCAGAAGTTAAAAGGCTGAGCTAATTATTAGTGGGGTTTTTTTTTTGTTTTGTTTTGTTTTTTTTTAAGGACAGAATTAAGTATAAAGCCAGTTTTGTCTCTTTTCAGTCTTAGCCCTTTCTATTTCTAAGGAGTATTTATGTTTCTCCTGTGAGGCTTGAGGAGGAGCTGGGTTTGTGTGCGCATGTGGATGGGTCACACTGTGGCTGGCATTCCACACAAACCTGCAAAGAAAGAAGCACTGCGGATGAGCCGGAGGGGGCCTCCTTCAGACACACCCTGCAGCAGCTTGCTGCTGCACAGCTGTAACACACCTAGGAAACAAGAGCAATGGAGAGAAAATGCAATGCAAAATAAAAATAATAAAAAAATAAAAAGCCAAACTAAGTGAACAGATGGCCTCATGTTGTGAAAAGGACATAGAACCTGAAAATATTTACCTAAATTACTTCCACTGCGACAGGTTCCCAAACCATTCTGATTAGAGCTCAGCTTTCCCAGGCTGGGATCTTGGTTGATGTATTCAAAGCTATCTTGTAAGCTAAAAAAAAAGGGAAAAAGCCAGTGTTTCTAAAGAAGCTGGTTAACAGTCAATATCAACTTGAAGCTCGTTTTAATGAGCTCAAGGACCAAGAAGTTTTCTGAGACATTAAAGCAGCAGGCGTTTATATTCTGCAGTAAACTCCCTCTTTGAATTACTGTAARCTTCTCTACATCTTATTTAGAATTCAGTGTATTCATATTTCCTCATCTGAGGGACAAGTAAAATGGGAACAGATGAGAAACACTACATCCCCTGTCGCTGCTGAAGGAAACAGAGGTGAGCACAAAGATAGCTTAACATAAATCCATGCTTTACCCTTCTGACAGTCCAAAGGGGCAGTCTCAAAGGCTTTGAGTGTTTAAGGCATCCAACCTCTCAAGTTTGCTGCACATTCTGAACAAATTATGCAGCAGAAAGTGGGTGAGCTTTCCCTTTATTTTTAATTCGGGTGGGCTGGCTAACATCTATCATTTGCACACTTCTCCCCTTCTTGCATCCTCCATTTCTCTTTTTTATTTTTTCCTCCTGTTTGCTAGATCTTTCCACTTTACCTAAGGTAGGTTTAGAGGCAGTGGCAGAAGGCCAACAAAAGAAAAGGCAGCAAGAAAGAAAAGACGACAGTATGGGCAGGAGGAGGGGAGAATAAAACAGAACGAAGATGCTTACTTATTGTTGCTTCCACTGAAGCTTCCTACCCTGGCTGAGAAGACTTTACTTATCATCAGTTGTGGGGGAGAGCTGCAAGGATAAACAGTCATCTGAGTCATCAGCTCCAAGCGCCTGACATGAGCATCACCACAGAGAAGGGCGCTCCGCTCACCGTATGTAGTGAATTTTCAAGGTGGAGCCTTTGTAGCTCATTGCCACCGAGCCAAACATCATTTCTCCCAGCATGTTGACATCAGAGGCCGGTCTGGTATACTAGGCAGACAAGAGCAGAGTCAGCAGTAGCCAGCGTACAACTTTAATTTAACAGTGCTATAGTACTATATATTGCAAAGGCCCATCATAATAGCAGATGTGAAGAAAAGTCTGTTGTTCTGAAGGAAATTCCTTGCTTTATAATTTAAGTCCCACCCTCCATCCCCCCATGTTAACCTATACATGCTTCAAATTATGTTATTCTGGATGGAGTAATTGCACTTTTCCTTGGGGACAGCCAAAATACCTAAAAAAAATCCTGTTCATAAAGAACAAACTAAAGGGACTCTAACATACCATTTTCTACATCTTTTTTTCAGAACATACATGTAGCATAGACAGATTTCTTTTAAAGGGAAAAAAAGAGACTGTGAAGTATCACTTTGACTTAAATAATGCTGTTTTTTTACTAAAATTTTCATTATAAGGTCAAGACAGACTAAGCGCTGAAGATGTACCCACACGTCCTTATTCTATCATACTTCAAAGATTGGATAGAAATTTCACATTTCAAAATTTTTAAGATTACCTGATACTTGGGTATTTGCTCTTTGATATTTTGCATACAACCTATTGAGGGACTACGTGAAGAAGCATTATTGTTCCCATTGCTTGCTTGGCAGTTCTTGGCAGAAGCCTTTGCAGAGGCATCCTCTGTCATTTTCTGAGTCAAAACAGAGCAATATGATGAAAACAATTAAAACAAACATGGAAATTTCCATTATAAATATACTATGGTAAGATTTTTGTTAAAAAATTGCTCAGCAACAAAAATAAAATGATAATATTTAGATAAAATGTTAAGCTTTTTAAAAGAAAAAAGAAATTACACAGAAAGAGCAGAATTCTTCTGCTATTAAAATGCTTTCTAGAGAAATAAGCATAATATCAGGCTCAAGCTCAAAATAATTACTGAAATAAAGCTCGAGTGGAAGATCACTCCCACATGTTATGAATGAACACTCTGTGCAACATTGTCAAAGTTTATATAAACCAATCTAAGCTTACGGGTTGTTTGCAAATTACTTTCTGTAATCATTTGCAAACTTAGTTGCCCAAGTTGTGCATTATTTTTGTTCCTCAACTGATAATCAATTCCTAGAACAGAAGAACAGACAGCAAAAACAAATGGTGAGTAATACCATTCATTTGGTAAAATTATCAGGTTAAAAAGTCCTTTTTTAAAGCCTGCATGGAAGTTGCAACAAATAAGCAAATGATTGTTTAAATCTGGCTGTTTAATTCAAAGTTTCCCCTCAAGCCACTCTGGTGTAACAACCTCCCAGAACAGCACAAAAGGAAGGAAGCTTTGCAGAGATATTGATTACATTAGTACTATTTGTATAGGTTTCATGAGAAAAGCAGTATTAAGTTTTTGGAGGTTTCCTTCAATAAACAAAGTTATCTTGAATAAAATGCATCCTGGTTCCTGTTTTCCTTAACAGTTTTTTAAACTCAAGTCCATTAGATATTAATTGAAAAGTCCATTTACAACATGTTTTACAACRGCATGTTTATTTACAGCATACTTGTCAGGTGCGTTTGAAATCATTTATTAAAAGGGAACAAAACTGCAAGCCTGCAACAATGTAAACTTCTTAGAGAATCTTAGAAAGCTCACCTCACATGAATAAACTTTATATACACACCTCAGAAAGCCAGAACAACTTAATGAATATATACTGAATGGAAATCCATATACACACACGTTCCTTTGGTGTAGAGTAGAGCAAACAGCAACTCTCTAAGTCTCATCTCGGGCCAGTCTGCTTTACCTCACTGGAAATGTGCACTGGCAGAGTTTGACTGAAATAGGAATAACCGAGGTGCTACTACAAAAAGAAGCTGCAGCCCGGTTTAGGTCACGCATTTTGGGTTCAGTAAGATGTGACAGGCACGTAATAGCAAATAATATGTAATTTGCTGTAACAGCAAATGAAATGGAAATGGAACCCAAAYACCACACTAGAAAGAGCCCCATTTTCAAATGAACACTTTTGAACACTACAACTCAGTAGGTGTGGTAAGTTTTAGAATATTCAAGATGACCAAGAAACTGGAAACTTCTTGGTGAAAACTTCCCTTCGTGAAAGGGAAGATACAGAGGAAAAAGTGAGCCAAAAAAAAGTGGGCTAAATACACTTACTATTTTTGTAAAAAGTTAAGCTACAGTGACTGTTCAGGCTCCTCTATTAATTTAAGAATAGACTTAGCATGTTACCAAAAAAAAAAAAAAAAAAAAAAAAGCAAAATCTTTCATGCACATTTGGACTGAATTGTCTCATTTACTTCAGGCCACATTTGCACTCCTTCAGTGCAGTTTTTCTTGGCGTGGCCAGTGTTAACTGCTAATTATCTAATCCCAGTGTGACCATCATTAGGTGGTTACAATTGCACAAGTGTTAGTCATCACATGCTTGACAAGTTATTGGCTAAGAGTGCCCTAATACAAGGTCTGGTTTATGGCATCTGCAGCAAAAGCAGGAGATTTGATTAAGAACACTGAAAAGAAACRGAATATACTAAATAAATATATGATTAAACAGAATATGGACCTGTAAGTTCTCCTAAGTAAGTCTATTGCTTGAAGGTAAAAATAGCATATTTGAATAGCTGATGTAGAGAAGCTCTACTGTGTTTTGGAAGATGGAAGATGTTCTGGAAGATGGATAAGGGCACAGTACACATCAATTCTTGATTTCACTTTAAACAGGACTGAGCTTAACAGTAACTTTGCCTTAAGTTTAAATGAATTCAGTCCTAGGCTCATTGTAACATTGTAATGTAACATATCAACAAATAGGGTTAAAGATATTAGAAGCAATTTAAATGTATGTGCCTACTTGCCATTCAAAAGCATTCAGTTTATTTAAAAGATACAGAGATTACTGTCTGACCAGGAAACAGATTATATCCTGTATCAGTGTTATAAGGCCAGGTATAACCTGTTTTATGCCGGTGTTCCATATTATTTTTAATGAGATTTTGGAGTTCAYCTTTGAAAAGTATTACCATGAGCAGAATGACCTCAGCATTTCTCCTTTGCATGCTGGAAGTTTTACACTAACTTTAAGACACAAAGTAATAACTGAGGCCTGTAACTCAATGGGGGCAGGGTGGAAATTAACAGTCCCATCTGACCTATTTATCCTGATAAGCAGATGATCAGTCAGCAGATGCTGCTCAGCCTTACCAAGGCCGCTTAAACCCAAAAGGGCATCTTTGCAGTGTGATTGAGATACTTAGAAGTCAGTGCTACTTAAACTAGAAATTAAGAAATTAATGCTTGCTGTTACTTAGGCATCTTCCTAAGAATCATTTCTACAAGTTCTACAAGKCACTGCTATTTCTCAGCTTTACAGCTAGTGACCAGTGAGCACTGGTCTCCAATAAGCACAGAGCTAGTAGAAAAAAAAAAAAAAAAAAGCTATCATTTTACTTGACTTATAGTCACCTTAGTTTGCCAAAACTTTACTCCAGAATTGTGTGCCTGGAGAGTGGCACAAAGATTTTGCACCTTGGCAGCATCTATTCTTGCTTCTGTTTGTGTCATCAGAAGTTTGCTGTGTGATCATACGTTATCAAGCATCAGTCTTGCACATTAAGTGGTTACCCTAAGTAGAGTAGCTTTAAATTCATACAAAGCCAACAACTTTACTGATCCAAACACTAAAGGAAGACAAGCGCTGTTAGAGGCATATGAGGTATCACCGGAATAATCGGGCTGTGCAACCAAGGCTAAGAACAAAAGAATCCTACGCAACATGACAGGAAACACTCAAAGGAATATAGATTGCTTTGCTCAAAATAGACACAAGGACTAAATTGTTCAGTACTGGTACCATATTTATATCCAAAGATGCTAAATACCAGATATTTTCACTTACTTTTTGGAATCTAAAACACTCTTCTTGAAGTTATCACAGAATTCAGATCAAGTGAAATGCCACAAGCACGATTAAAAGTTTCACATTATCATTTTAAAATTCTTACTTCTGGGGAAGGAAGCAAGAGATTGACAGAATGGGAGCAAAATTAGCATTTCATACCTGAATCACAGCTTCATCAATTTTACGGACTGCTTTGGAATCAAACAAGACCTGTCTGCCTCTTCTCTCACAGTCTTGGTAAACTATCAGGCGGATTTCATTCAAATCAAACTCTGAGCAGGACCAGCTGTAGATTATATAAAAAAAAAAGTGGTTTAAGGGTTAAAGATACTTGCAAGCGTATTTAAGAGAAGAAACAGGTACCCAGCACCTTTTATTCAGTATTCCCAAGATTCAGGCTATAATCACAGCACTTTAACTGAAAAGGAACTCCAAGTGCTCTCCAAACCAAATGTCACTGATACACAGGCAGGTACAGCCAGACCAAGCTTACATCCATCCTTTACGCAAACTCCTCCATAGAGGGAAGACCAAACTTTGTCTCAGCAATCTGTTCCAGCACTTAACACTCATTAAGTGTGCTCCCTCCCCCCCAGCCAGGCAGAGTCTGGATCATATTTATTTCAAAGCAGGTGTACTATTTCTTGCAGTTCTCTTGGTAACAACAAAGAACAAGTGATTACCATCCTATAGCCTTTTGTATGCCAGAACACTATGAACTCCTTCATTCTTCTCTTTCTTAAGCAACACAACCCCGTTTCCCTTCAACCTCTTTTCTGTCAATGAGCATTATCTCAAAAATACTTCACGTGACACTGAAGGCTGAACACAGTGCTCACCCAGGGCCCTGCCAGCAAAAGAATATTGCTGCAACTGTGTTAGGTATGACAACTTCCACGAAGTGAACTTCAATTGACAGTTCCTTCTATTGCACTGGCACCCCAGTTTCAAGCTAATCAATTTGTGGTAACTGTAGCACTTAGCGCTACTCCTCAAGCATCCCTGCAGATCAAGCCTGTCTGCCAGGTCTCATAGGYAAAGTTATTTCCAAATTAACAACCTAAGCCAATTTTGTCCTTACAGTTCCTCAAATACTTCGGATGTTTACTGAAGGACAATAGTGAAGTTGTTATGATTCTTCCAYTATTTAATTCTTTTAAGAAAATTGCAGGGTTTATGCTGCTTCCATATTTTACCTGAACCTTCTCAGAAGTGGGTATTAAGAGCAATCAGATTAGTGAGGCCTGATCTCCAGCTACAATGAAACAAATAAAATGAATGATACCAAGATGCTGCTGCCATTGCAACCCTCCTAACCCAGAGTTTGCCCTCTTTTCCAAGATACTCTGTAGCACATGACTCTGTCTCCTCGAACTGCTATGCAGAGGTGAGGCACATGACTGATGACGGCTGCAGGAGCGAGGGACATTCTTTCCTAATTCCAAAGGGAGTCGGCCTGCACGCCAGGGCATGGGGTTCAGTTGGCGCTGCTTTCTGCCACACAGACCACTTTGCATGTGATGGGGCTGACAAATGGAAAAATACCGGCACAAGGGAGAGCAGGGCAATGTCGCACGGGTGGCTGTCAGGGGCTCTGGCATCTGCCTCAGCCCTGACCAGCGGAGACCTYCTTGTGGGGCTGAGAGGACAGCTGGTATTAAGAGTTGTTGGTTTAACACATTGCATAATAGACTCAGTCAAGGCCACACTGATTTTCCATCAAAAAAGAGGTTTTGTTTTGTTTGGAGGTTTTCCCATCAAAATGAGGTTTTGAATTTTCCCAAACTGCACCTTACAGAGGGTGAATGTGGGGAATGGTTGGAAGGCCACAAAATCCCTATGCAGTTGGAAGACAAGAATGTTCGAAGCTCTTGTGTTCCAGATGCTGTTAAAAGCCATAGCACTGCCAGCCCCTGCTAAAGCCACAGTGAGCTGCCACGGGCACCTGCGTTACAAATACACTCAGACTTGCACGTGGAAACCAACACAACAAAAGCCAGGGTAATTTCTTTGTGCTTTATCTTGAGTTTCAGAGATCAGCCCCCCTTTCAAAACAGTAAAAGACTGATTAGGCTTTTTTCCCAAAGCCGAAAGACTTTTTTCCAAAGCTGAAAGACAACTTGGAAGATTTTCATTTTTAACTACCTCTTGTCAGAAATAGAAGTCAGCTTCCTATCTAAACTGCAAGATAGGCAGATGCAAGTAGACTTCATGTACCGGTAATATGTGAGGGTCCAGTACACATCAAAGCTGGCCCATGGAATAGACTAAGGGCTATTTCACCACGAACAGTGAGGAAACAGCTGATAGCTTTGCAATACGCTGCCCTCGGCACACAGGGAGAGCMAGGCACTGCCTGTCAAAGCGGGCAGAGCATTAACTTAACCTGCAGGAGATCAGACCTGGCATCATTGCTCATAGTTGCCCAGGGATCCTACAGACTCACATGTGCAGAGTGCTGCAACTATACTATGGACTTGAAGTTTGTTACTGGTTTTTAAACCCTCTGCCAATGCAAATTTCTTTTTTCTTTYTTTTTAATAAAGAGCCATAAAGTCAGAGCCATTAACAGATTTCCCCCTCCCCCTCTAGTTTGCCTCATGAATCCAGTATCCTTTTCTAAGAGCATTCCTGGTCGGTTATACAGCTGGCCGTTTACACACTCCACAACACGCAATAGCGGAACCATTTCTAGAGTAACTATGTTTGCTTATTGAAAAGGCAATGGGTCATCCTTCCTTTCAACAAAGTAAAGGAATATTTCTACTATACCCTTAATTTAAAACATACATAAGAGTTTCAAGCACAGACTGAGATCATCCAGCCCTGTACCCAGCCACCAAAGACTACCAGCAACTTGATACTCGTGTTGCAGGAATTCAAGTTTCCCGGCGAGCAGCTAACTCCCACGTTCAGCACTGAAGGCAGTGTGATTAGGTGCTGTTGGTGCCAACTGCCCTACAAGGAGCGAACAGAGTTTTACAGACCGAGACTGCCTTGTGCTGTGGCACGTGCTGTGGCTGCGGTGCCTTCGCTCAGCACTGGCCCGGGCTGCTGCAGTCTTCACTGCCGCGGGGGTCTGAACGACACGGACAGTGCTCCGCGTTGCTCAAGTGATCCATCCTAGGAAAGCCTCATCTGGTGAGATCAAGCCTATTTACAGGCAAGTTAGAGGCATAGATAGACCACGGCGTCACTACCCCATGAGGGAGCTAGCACCAGGCACAAGACTAATCAGATGACCAGGATTTTTCACAGAAGCTGATGAGCAGAGCCATGACGGGACTTCCAGCCTTCACTGTTTAAGCCACATTACATAACATACAGCCCCAACAGGGGCCACGGCASTATTCAACTATTCCCCACAAACAGAGTGTTAGGGAAAAGTACAGACAGGACAGGTGCCTTCTGGCAGGTCCACTGCAGGTATTTAGAAATCAAAACCCCAATGCTACTTGCTCATCTTTAGCAACACTGAAGATAATTCTTTTTGGTTGTTTTTCATGTACGATATTTTAGAAAAGTAGTAGGATTCCTTTAATTATTTATTCATATATTAAAAACACAAGCACACTTCTAAAGGTGTATTAAGCCTACACAGTGCAGATGTTCAAAAGTAATAGCTTAAGGGTTTGACTAAGAAAAAAAAATCCCCTTCATCCATTTATATGATTTTTTTCTAAAAAAAGCAAAACCAAAACATCAGATATAGGCAACAGATATTTTAGCCCAACTCCAAAAAAGGCTTAGATGAGCTCTGGTCACCTTCATGCATAAGCATTCACCTCACTCAGTTAAGGCACTAATCAACTTCAACCACCGGATCTGACCAAGGGAGATGCAGTTCTAAGCCCTTCCCAAGAACATCCTGCTGAGAAGACGCACTCTGAACCTGTTCCCATCCACAGCCACATTAAATATTCACACTAGCTTTAGTGAAACACAAATCAACATGATGTATTTGCAAGGAAGAAGTAGAARATAAGAAAGATTCTATAAATGCTGTACAAAAAGCTTCTATCAGAACCTGCATACTATAAAATTGGATTTTCTACGATCAAAACATATCTGTCACAAAAAGCAAGCTTCAATTCTTCTACTTCTGAAACTGAAAGCAGCCCCTCAACACATGCTGCAGAATAAGCCCTTATTTCCTGCCCACAGTACTTGGCAAGTTTTCCATGGTCCACTTCATGATGAATTACTTCGATATTGATGTTTAATGAACTCCAAAAGCATGCTCTTAACTCTTCACCCCCCACTTTGACTCTCTCCTACCACATGCCTCAAGGCTCAGTTGCTTTCCTTATGCTCAATTGCTAAATCTCTATTCAGCCACCTTTTTGCTCATTCACTTTCTGTTCAAAGCTGCTTTCTTAACTGTAYGTAGCTGCTGGGGGAGCCATGCGATGGCAATATGGGTGGTTTTGCCATATACACCTACTAYACATCTACTACTGACAACATTACCTCTGAACATGGAGATATAATTCCCAGCTTAAGCTTCACATTTAGTATGAATGTTTGATGAGAACAAAAGACAATAACTRCCCTTGCAGAGCAAAACAACTGTTGCTTCTTTCAATCAGCTTAGACGCCTCTTCCAAAAATAAGAATTTCACAAYACAGTAACTGAAATATCATCTGCCTTGGCYCTGTTTATGCAAAACTTGTTCTCTTTTGCTTATATAAAAACATTYAAGCAAAACCAAAATATTAAAGTGTCTCTTGTATTCTGTGCTAAAGGCACCTGTATTCCTAAGTAAATTTGATAACGAAAGTTAAAAATACAATGAACAAAAGGAAAGTTTTTGAAGCTACCTAGGTCTGAATTTTTTGCAAAATGGTTTTAACATGAGAACACACTAGAAAGATATGAAGGYGATGAGACTGAAGTTCTAGAAACATTGCCAGCTAACAAATGCTTCAATTTGGCTAAAAGYTAATACATTAGACTAGCTTCTCCACATTTTAAAAAATAGCTGAATCCATTAAATGAATGCGGGTCTATGTGGATATTCATATTTCAGATTAGACATGGCCGTTCTGACTGAATAAAACACCTTATTTGATAACAAAACCAAGCAATCCCACATACCATTTCTCCCCTCTTTGYACAACCTGTGCTCTTGCTCGTGTCAGTCCCGATAACTGCTGGGCCCTTCAGAAGGCCACCCGAGTTGTCCGGAGCAGCAGACGGCTGCCCAGCGCAAGCAGGCCGACCAGAAGGCAAGCAGGAAAAGAGGAGATGTCCACACAACCTCCTCCTCTTAGCAGCGGCAGCAACAGTTACAGTAATTCACTTTCCCCAGAGCTGCACCTTTGGGAAAGGGCACCAAGAAAAYGTTTCCCACACATGACACCTTGGTACAGAGGCCAGTCAGGATGAGCACTGCAGGTTTGTGTTTGCTTCTTTTCCTGCTGTGGCTTCCTGCTGGCTTAGCGAGCTGCCTCCCTATCCAGGGGCAGGTAAAGGTACCAGGAAGAGCAGAGCCAGCACTAGGGGTGCAGGACAGGCCATGCTGGCAGAAAGCTGAGGAAGAAGGGAACGCATCAYGGATCCTTTCAACATTAGCCACGTTTTTGAACCGTTAAGCCTACTGAAGCTCACCTTCAAACAGATCTTTCCAATGCCTGCAAGATGCTAGAAGTAAACGTGAGATCTTCAAGACAAAAACAAGCTTTCTAATTCTATGCAGCAGGAATATCTGCTTTTCTACTCAGAAAATGTCCACTAATTAATAATAAAATAATCATAATAAAACACTATGRATAATATATTTCTGAAAGCAAGATGCAAGTTTGAAAGAGCTTACAGATACCTGACAAATTTTCTCCCCAGATTCCGTAACAGAATTATGTTTAAGATTTGCTTAGTTTTCTCCTAAGGTAGCAAATAAATCACTTTGCTTTGACTTACCTGTTATGAAAGAAATTATCAGTATGAGGCTTGAAGGCAAGGAGATCTTTARCTAGAGAAAAGCAGCTGGCTTCTGAAAAAGCTATGCAAGCTTGCCCCATATTGAATCAATATTTTCAGTTAACACAGATCATGTRTACAAAGAAAGCTTTCGGCTCATTTTTAGCTATCGGCATGTATGCAATAACTAGTCACCTATTTGCTTATATCTGAAAGCTACTTCAGTTGGCCTTAGAAGAACTTTAGAAAGATACTAGCTCATATTTCAGTACAACACCACAGACTAAATAAGGACCTTAAACACCTATTTATATACACAAATATGCATTTTACTGTTTTTCAGGTCACCAGCCCTGAAAGCACATTTTCTACTGGAACACCCTTGATGAGAATTTAAGAGCTGCCCTGAACTGTTTTTTTCATATTACAGCAGTGCARCAATAGAGACTCAGACATGAGGACATTAGAGATATGCCGGCACACGCCTGGCAAAGGTATTACCAAAAAGTTAAATCAATCCACATCCACATCGCTGACAGGATGCTCTAGAGATCACTTTCAAGTACTGCAGGTGGTGGCCCCTTTCCACTCTTCCCCCTCTTTCACTGCAGACTATTACTACTTGACCCATTAACACAGGACATTAAAAAAAAAAAAAGAACTAATTAGAAAATTAGAAAGGAAAGGTAAGGTTATCTCATCTTTATTTCACCTTAACCAAAAAGGAAGCCAATTACCCTTCAGACCTCAGTTAACAGGCACACAGAAAGAGTCAAGAATGTAGATTCAGTTCCAAAAGGCAAGAAAGAAATATTTCTGGAATATCAGTCACCACCAGCAACAAGACTATGGTGCTAAGAAAGTTTTCTAAATTATTCACAGTCTAACTTGTTAAGCACATCATTATAAACTCAGCATCAGCTTAGAATATCCACTGTCTGTCAAAAGTCATGTATACAAAAAAAAAAAAGTTACATGCATACCTGTCTTGCAGCAGTTTAGTGTCTCTGCTCACACGGCTGACATTTTGGTCTCCCAAAGGTTTTCTAATCCTTTTATCCAGTTTGGTATGAGAGAGAGTATTTCCGAGTAGTACATCGCTGTTATTTCTTGCTCTTTCTACTCGTCCCTCCCTGCCATTCGTAGCTTTTGGTGCACCACCACACATTTTCTTATTCTAAAGATGCTCTTGTAAAGTTCCTTCAAAAACACAAACTGGAGAGATACAGCCTCAAGCGGGTTTCTTTACTATAGATCAACCATTAACAGCAGTAATTAACTAGCAGCTTTCTTCTTCAAATAGGAACTCAAGTCTCCCAAATTTCTTGTTAGCAAGGAGAGAGGAAAAAAAAAAAAAAAAAAAAAAAAAAA